TCTGCTGTTTTAGGATGAAATGTTCTGAAGGTACCAATTGAATCCATTTGATCTAGTGTGTCACTTAGGGTTGTTGTCTCCTTGTTGATTTTCTGTCTGAAAGATCTATTTATTGAAGACAATGGGGTGTTAAAATCCCCAATTATGACTGTATTTCTGTCGATCTCTCCCTTTATGTCCATCAAGGTTTCCTTCACATATTTCAGCTGTACTAAGTTGGGTGTGTAAATGTTTACTAGGGTTATATCCTCTTATTGGATTGTCCCTTTTACCATTATATAGTGTCTCTCTTTGTCTCTTACTATACCCTTGGTTTTAAAGTCTATTTTTGTCTTTGGATATCTGGCCAAGATGGAGGTGTAGGCAGAGACACTTCACTTCCTCGCACAACCAAAAGAAGGATAACAACCAATTGAAAAACAAAAGACAACCAGAACTTCCAGAAAATCATACTGAAAGGAAGTCCAACAACCAAGGAGTTACAAAGCATTCATCAAGACCAGTAGGAGGGGCAGAGAGAAGGGCAGAGAGGATGCACAGAAAGGCGGGTGGCTGGGAGACCATGGTGAGTGATCTCACATTTGTGCATGCGGATAGGCCTGAAGGAACAACAGGGGAGCGAGACAGACCACAAAACCCAGGGTTCCAGAGCCAGAAACTTAGACTTAGAACTCGTGACTGTAAAAATCTGTCGATGTTACCTCAGATATGGGAGAAATGCCCAGTCTCACAGGAGAGCCTTTTGGAGAGGCCTACGGGATTCTAGACTGTACACAAACCCACCCACCAGGGAATCACACCTGAAAGGGCACAATTTGCTTGTGGGAAGTGATGGAAAATGGGGCAAGAGCTGAGCAAACAGCGTTGTTCCCTCTCTGACCCCATCCCCACAGACAGTGCCACAACTCAGCAAAGAGGGTTGCCCTACCCCAGTGAATAGTTGAGGCTCCACCCCTTACAATGTTACAGGTGTTCCAAGACAAAGAAATATGGCCCAAATGAAAGAACAGATGAAAACTCCAGAAAAAGAACTAGGCAATGAAGAGATAGACAACCTATCTGCTGCAGAGTTCAAAACACTGGTAATCTGTATGCTCACAGAATTGATTGAGCTCAGTTGCAAAATGAAGGAAGAAATGAAGGGTATACAAAGTGAAATAAAGGAAAATATATAGGGAACCTACAGTGAAGGGAAGGAAACTGGGACTCAAGTCAATGATTTAGAACAAAAGAAAGAATTAAACATCCAACCAGAACAGACCAACAAAACAAAGACGCAAGGAAAATAAGACCAGCAACACTCAAAAGAAAAGAAACCAACAGAGACAAGAGGGACGGAGGGAGGGGTGGGCAGGGGGAAAGGAAGGGAAGGGGCAAGTCAAGGAACATATAGCGAGGACTCATGGACAAAACCAAAGTGGGGAAGGATTGAGGGAGGGAGAGGGGGGAGGAGGCAGGGGAAAGTGGTGGGGGGAAGGCAGAGACAAATGTATTTGGAAAAATAAATTAATTAATTAAAAAATCAAAATAAAAAAATAAAACTCAACTGATAACTGCAAAAATAAAGAAATAAGAAAGAAAGAAAGAAAGAAAGAAAGAAAGAAAGAAAGAAAGAAAGAAAGAAAGAGAGAGAGAGAGAAAGAAAGAAACCTTATAAGCAAGAAGGGGCTGGAAAGAAGTATTCAAAGTCATGAAAGCCAAGGACCTACATCCAAGATGACTCTATCCAGCACAGCTATCATTTAGAATGGAAGAGCAGATAAAGTGCTTCCTAGATAAGGTCAAGTCAAAGGAATTCATCATCACCAAGCCTTTACTACATGAAATGTTAAAGGGACTTATCTAAGAAATAGAAGATCAAAAACTTTTTCGAGTAAAATGATAACAAACTCACAACTATCAACAACTGAGCCTAAAAAACATAAACAAAAACTAAGCAAACAACTAGAACAGGAACAAAATCACAGAAATGGAGATCACGTGGAGGGTTATCAGTGGGGAGGGGAATAATGGGGGTTATAAGGTACAGGGAATAAGAAGCATAATACATAGGCACAAAATAGACGGTGGGGGGGGTGGTTAAGAATAGTATAGGAAATAGAGAATCCAAAGAACTTATATGAACAACCCATGGACATGAACAAAGGGGTGGGAAGAATGCTGGAAGGTAGGAGAGGTGCAGGGAGGAGGGGGATAAAGGGGAGAAAAAAATGGGACAACTGTAATAGCATAACCAATAAAATATACTTAAAAAAAAAAAAGTCTAGCCCTTGCTGCTGTGGTTCAGTGGATTGAGCACTGGCCTGCAAAGCAAAGGGTCACTGGTTCAATTCCTAGTAAGGGCACGTGCCTGGGTTTCGGGCTAGGTCCCCAGCAGGGGGTGTGTGAGAGGCAACCATACACTAATGTTTCTCTTCCTTTCTTTCTCCCTCCTTTCCCCTCCCTCTAAAACCAAATAAATAAAACCTTTTTTAAAAATAAAGTCTATTTCATTGGATATAAATACTGCTACCCCAGCCTTTTTTTTCTTTTCTATTTGCATTAAATGTCTTTTTCCATCCCTTCACTTTTAGCCTGTGTGTATCTTTCGATCTGAGATGGGTCTCTTGGAGGCAGCATATATAGGGGTCTTGTTTTCTTACCCATTCAGCTACCAATGTCTTTTGGTTGGAGCATTTAAGCCATTTACATTTAAGGTGATAACTGATAGACACATATGTAGTGCCATTTTATTGTTAGACTGTTTTTTCTTTTTTTGTTTCTTGTTCTTAAAGCAAGCCCTTTAACATTTGTTGCAGTACTGGTTTGGTGTTAACAAACTCCTTTAGTTTTCCTTCTCTGGGAAGCTCTTTATTCCTCCTTCAGTTTTAATTAATAGCCTTGCTGGGTAAAGTAGCCTTGGTTATAGCTCCTTGCTTTTCATCACCTTGAATACTTCATCCTGCTCCCTTCTGGCCTGAAATGATTCTGATGAGTAATCAGATGACAGCCTAATTGGTGTTCCCTTATAGGTAACTACTTGCTTTTCTCTTGGGGCTTTTAGGATTCTCTCCTTGTCTTTAAGTCTTGCCATTTTAATTATGATGTATCTTGGTGTAGGCCCCTTTGGGTCCAACCTGTTTGAGACCCTCTGAGCTTCCTAGACTTGTGTGTCTTTTTCCTTCACCAAATTGGGGGAGTTTTTGTTGATTATTTCTTCAAATAGGTTCTCAATCCCTTGTTCACTCTCTTCTCCTTCTGGTATTCCCATGATGCAGATGTTGTTCCACCTCTTGCTTTCCAAAATGTTTCTTAAATTCTCTTCATGTTTTAAAATTCTTTCTTTTCTTTTTGCTGCTCTGCCTGGGTGTTTTTTCTGCCTTGTCTTCCAAACACTGATGCTTCATCTAACCTACTGTTTATTCCTTCCAGTATATTATTTATTTCAGATATTGCATTCTTTATTTATGACTGGTCCTTCTTTATGGTTAGTATGTCTTTTTACATGCTTTTGAGTATCCTTATAATCATTACTCTAAACTCTCTATATGATAAATTGCTTGCCTCTATTTCATCTAGTTCTTCTACTGGAGAATTCTATTGTTCTTTCATTTGGGGTCTCTTACTTTGTCGTCCCATTTTGACTGCTTCTTTGTATTTTCTGCCTTAGTAGTGAAACTAATCAGTATTTGAGCTGATTGGTAGTTAAAATAATCGAGCTGTAATCAGCATCCCAGCTTAAGCTTCACAGGGTAGGGCACAGTAATTCCTGCAGGCAGAGCTATTGCTTCGCCTCAGGCTGATGCCATTCAGAGAGTAGTGCTCTGCCTGAGAAAGGTGGCTTCTGCATTATGGGGGATGACTCAGCACAGAGATCCTGGCAGCTGTTCCCTCAGTTTTCTCCCCAGAGCCACCAACCCCATACTCTCCTCAAGTGTCTCTAGTTCACTCTGCCATCCCCCTGCCATAGCCCAAGGTAAGTGGCTGTAAACAAAATTTTGTATGTTGGCCTTTTAAGAGGCTCTCTGAGCCTCTAGTCATCTCCCCCTGACAGACAGAAACCCTGCTGTTTTTTATCAAGACTTGCTTTATCATTAAGAATTTGGTGATTTGGTAAATATTCTGCATGACCCTTGAAAATAATGCATATTCTCCTATTTTGGATGCAGTTTTCTATAAATATTAATTAGGTCATGTTGGTTGATCATTTCAGGTCTCTTAAATCTTCACTGATTTTCATTCTACTTTTTCTGTCAATTATCAAGAGAGAAGTGTTGAAATCTTATATTTGTGAATTTGTCTGTTTCTTCCCACAAAACTCTCAGTTTTAACTTCAAAAATTTTTTAATTCAGTTATTTGATACATTGACCATTTTATCATTATGAAGTGACATTCTATCTCTGGTAATATCCCTTGCTCTGAAATATATATTCTTGTATTAATATAGCCACTTCAGCTTCCTTTTGATTAGCATGGAATCTCTTCTTCTATCCCTTTATTTTTAAACTGTTTGTGTTTTTAAATTTAAAGTGGATGTCTTGTAGGCAGCATATAATCAGGTCATGCTTTATGCATGTATCTGATATTTTGCCTTTTTTGGTTCTTTGTTCCCATTTTGTTCTTTTATCAATCACCTTCTTTTTGGATTAATGAGATTCAATATTATATCCTTTTTTATTGTTGTTCAATTACAGTTGTCTCCATTTTCCCCTTATTACTCTCCCCTGCCCTACGCTCCTCCACATTCAATACACCACCATTGTCTTTGTCCATGGGTCCTTTATACATGTTCCTTGACAACCCTTCCCCTTCTTTTCCCAGTTATCTCCCTCTCCCCTCCCCCCTGGTCACTGTCAGTTTGTTCTTTATGTCCATGTCTCTGGTTCTATTTTGCTTGCTTTTTTGTTTGGTTGATTAGGTTCCACTTATAGGTGAGATCACATGGTATTTGTCTTTCACCCCCTGGCTTATTTCACTTAGCATAATGCTCTCCAGTTCCATCCATGCTGTCACAAAGGGTAAAAATATGCAATGCTTCACGAATTTGCATGTCATCGCGTAGGGGCCATGCTAATCTTCTCTGCATCATTCCAATTTTAGTATATGTGCTGCCGAAGTGAGCACTACGTTATATCCTTTTTGGTTTATTAGATATAACTTGGGTTACATTACTTTAGTTATTGTTTCAGGATTTACAGTATATATCTCTAACTTATCCCAACCAAACTTCAGGAAATATTGCAACATTTCACATATAGTATAAAAAACCTTACAACAATGTCCTTCCGTGTTTCCTCTCCTAGGCTTTATGTGATTGTCTTCATAAATTTTGTTTCTACATATGTTATAAACCCCATAATAAATTGTTACTATTTTTTGCTTTAAACTGTCAATTAACTATACAAGTGAGTTTTAAAATAAGAAAAGAAACTATAGTTACCCACATAATTTCCTTTTTCTTCTTTTCTTTTTCTTTTTTTCAATCTCTTCATTTCTTTATGTAGATCCAGGTTTCCACCTGGTATTTTCTTGCTGCCTGAAAGAATTCCCTTAGCATATCTTATAGTTCTTATCCATTAGTGATATGTTATTTCAGCTCCGCATATCTGAAAAAGTCTGACTTTTTTCTTCTTTTTTATTGTTTATTCTATTACAGTTGTCTCAATTTTTCCCTCTTTACCCTTCTCCACCCATCCCACCCTGACCCCTCTCCCACAGTCAATTCCCACTCTGTTGTCCATGTCCATGGGTCATTCATACATGTTCTTTGTTTAGTCCAGTCTCCTCCTTTCCACCATTGTCCTCCTTCCCCATCCCCTCTGATCACTTTCAGTCTCCTCCATGTTTCCATGCTGGTGGTTTGTTTTGTTTGTCAGTTTATTTTGTTGACTAGATTTCACTTATAGGTGAGATCATATGGTATTTGTCTTTCACCGACTGGCTTCATTCACTTAGCAGAATATTCTCCAGTTCCATCCATGATGTCACAAAAGATAGGAGTTACTCCTTTCTTTCTTTTTCTTTTAAGTGCAGATTTATTTTACTTATTTATTATTTTAATGTCAAGATTAATTATAAAATATTTTAAAAATTATATCCATTATAAAGTGTCAGCACTTAAAACAACATGACACCAGCACAGAAATGATCAAGTAGATCAATGAAATATAATGAGCATTCTAGAAACAAATGTATATATCTGTCTAAAATGTAATATATGATTAAACTGATATTTCAGATCAATGGGGAAATTAACACTTATTCAACAAATAAGGTGCATGGAACATTATTACCTGAAATAAAACAAATATAGAGCCCTATTTCACACACTATACAAACAATATTCAGTTGAGTTAAAAATCAATGTGTAAAATATAAGGAGTTTTAGGAGAAAATACAAAGTAATATTTTTCTTACCGTGGGGTAAAATATTAAAACCCAGAAGCTATAATGTAAAATATTGACAATATGACTATATTAAACATTTAAGACTATACACTAGTAATAAACATATTTAAAAAGTTAAAGGACAAGTAATAGAACAGGAAAGTATTTGCAACACATCTAAAAAATAGTTAATAGTTTTTTTTAGGGAAAAATTCTACAAACAATTGGCCAAAAAATAGATAAAGAATACCAAAAAGTCATCTAAAGCTTTTTAAGAATAATAGAAATAGGCAAGAAATATACAGAAATAGGTTTAGTTTCAACAAATAATAAAGGAACAACTTAAAAAAACACATCATTGTCACAATCAGATTAATAAATATTAAAAATACCGTAATATCAACTATTGGTGACCATGAAAGGAACTCGGTATTCATAGACTCTTTTTCTTCATCTTCTTAAAGCAGTCCTTTTAGCATATTTTGCAATGCTGGCTTGCAGGAGGTGTATTCCTTTAGCCTTCTTTTGTCTGGAAAACTCCTTATTTCACCCTCCATTTTAATTGAGAACCTTGCTGGGTAGAGCAGTCTTGGTTTCAGGCCTTTGCTTTGTATGACTTGGAATATTTCTTGCCATTCCCTTCTGGCTTGTAGTGTTTCTGTTCAGAAGTCAGCTGCTAGCCGTACCAGGGCTCCCTTATATGTTACTACCTGTTTCTCCCTTGCTGCCTTTAGGATTCTTTCTTTGTCTTTGATATTTGCCATTTTAATGATGATGTGTCTTGGAGTGGGTCTCATTAGGTTCCTCTTGAATGGAACCCTTGTGCTTCCTGGACTTGTGTGACTTTTTCTCTCCTTAAGTTAGGGAAGTTTTCCATCATGACTTTTGCAAACAGGTTCTGTATCCCTGTCTCCTCTTCTTCTCCTTCTGGTATCCTTATTATATGTATATTGTTTTGTTTCAGGTTGTCCTGTATTTCCCTAAATGCCTCTTCATTCTTTTTTAGTCTTTTTTCATTTTCTTGCTCTTTGTGGGAGCTTTTTTTATACCTTGTCCTACAGCTCACTGATTCGATCTTCTGCTTCACAGGATGGGGCAGAGTCCCTCCTGGGGGCAGGGTTATTCAGTCCTCTCAGGGAAGTGATCTGCCAGAGCCAGATGGCTGCTGCCACATGAGGGAGGTGTCAGCATTGGGATCCCACCAGCTACTCTCTCTGTTCTCTCCCCAAAGCCACCATCTCCAGTCTCTCCTCAAGTGTCTCTAGACCACTCTGCGCCCCCTTTAGCCAGGGATCTACTATCTGTGGCTTCCACTCTATACTCATCAGTCAGGCTTTAGCACCACCGGGCCACGGCAGAGTCAGTCCCTCCTGGGGGCGGAACTATTGTGTCCTCTCACACTGTTACCGCTCAGAGGAGTGGTTTGCCTGAGGAAGATGGCTGCTGCCATATGGGGGAGGAGTCAGCAGTAGGATCCCCCCTGCCACTCTCTCAGTTCTCCCCCTAAAGTTTCCTTCCCCCATTTCTCCCCAGGTGTCTCCAGCCCACTCTGCCCCCACTTTTGCCAGAGACCAGGGTAAGTGGCTTTATGTGTTGGCCCTTTAATCAGCTCTTTGTCTCCAGCCTCCTGTCTCTTGCAGAAAGAAACCCTGCCGCTTTTTGCAGCTGGCTGTTTCTGTGTACTTTTTGGGCTCTAGTGCTGTAGGCTAGAGATCCCTGCTTATGATTTCAGCCCCAGTCTTTTCAGGGGGATCCAACTGGCCCTTTCAATATTCTTCTGGTGCTTCCACCATGGGTGCCCCACCATCTTTCTTGAGTCTCTACTGCACTCCTTACCAGTTAGGTTGTGCTAAAGCTGACTCTTCTGTCTGTCCAAGGTTATAAGGCTACTCTCTCACTATTGTTCTGTTGTTAGTTCCAGGTGATTTCTCCAAAATTTAGTTGGAATTCCAGATTGGTCCTGGGAGGAAGTTAGTGTGACTTCCACTCACTCCTCTGCCATCTTGATTCTCTTGCATTTTTTCTTCTTTTTGAAAATATTTTTGCTGCATATAGAATTATAGATTGGCAGTCTTATTTTCAGTCCCCTATAGATGCTGTTTCACTGTTTTCTGACTTACATGGCCTCTAGTAAGAATATATATCATTTTCATATTTATTCCTATGTATATAAGGTGTATTTTTCTGGTCTCTTCTTAATTTTTTTTCTTTATCACTGTTTTTTGAGCAATTTGATTGTAACATGCCTTGTAATTTTCTTTATGTTTCTTATGCTTAGAGTCCATTGAGGTTTTTTTTTTAATTTTTAGATTTGTGTGTTTATATATTTATCATATCTGGGAAAATTTTAGCCATTATTTATCCTAATAATTTTTCTTTGCTCTCTCCTCTCCTAGAGATCATACGTGTATTAGGCTACTTGTGATCTTCCCACAACTCATTAATTTCCTGTTCATTTATTTTCAGACTTTTCCTGTTTTTTTTAATAATTTTCACCAGTATGTTCTCAAATTCACTAATCTTTTTTGTTGAAGTGCCTAATCTGTTCTTAATTCATCTAGTGTATTATACATCAGAGACATAGATTTTCATCTCTACAAATTCAATGTGAATCTTGATTTACATCTTCCATTTCTCTCCTTAACATACTTATCCATTTCTCTACATATGTAGAATATACTAATTATAACAGTTGTTTTAATGGCCTTGTATACTAACTCTGTTAATCTGTTCCATTCCTGGGTATTTTTCTATTGATTATATTTGTCTTATCATGAGTCATATTTTCCTGCTTCTTTGCATGCCTGTAATTTTTTATTGGATGCCAAACATTGTGAATTTTATGTTGTTTGGCACTAAATTTTCTGTATTTCTTTTAATACTTTTTAGCTGTTTCTTTGATGCCATTAAGTTACTTGGAAAGAGTTTGATCCTTTTGAGACTTGCTTTTAATCTTTGAAAAGTAGAATCTGAAAAGATAAATAAAAATGAAGTTGAACTTTCTCTGTTGCAAAAAAAGAAAGAGGCAGTTTCTTCTTCCCTTTTCTTAGAGTAGTTCCTTGAGAAACCTAGTCTTTATGAATCCTTCATCTGTCCCTTTAGCACATATGTAAATATTTTTAAAGATTAAATAATCCTCTTGATAGCCTTATAATCCAAAATTTTATTTCTTAAGAGACTGAGAGCCATCTGTTTGAAATGTAAATATCAAGGAAGATGTCATGCTAGGAGCTTAGCTAGGTACCTTACTCTAAGCTGTAAACACCAGCTTGTCATAGAGATATGAGAAATTTTATTTTTCCTTCACATAAAAACAATTAACTAGACAGGTGGCTACTCCAATTACCAGGTGAATTTAGGATGAACTATGAAATAATGTATATTAATTAATGTTTTAAGTCCTGTTACAGAGGGACAACTTATCATTCATTTAGGATTTATTTCTGTTCTTTGCAATCTTATTAGCAGATTGCCTATAATTCATCACAGTCTGTTTTAATGCTTATCAATAATGAAACACTTTTCTTTTTTTTCTCCATTGATGGAGAAATTTCCTGGATTGGCAGGTAATTTTATCTTCAATTTTTTTCCCTACAGATCAGAACAGCATGTTAATATTGTCCTCTACTGAAGCACTATTTTTCTAGGTACTTCACCCAAAACCCTAAGTATTTAAAGATTTCTCCATTTTGGGGGTGAAAGGAGGGAAATATGAAGGGATTAAGACCTACAAATTG